AACATATGTTTTGCTCTATGAAAGCAAATATAACTTAGAGGGCAGGAAATAATCATGTAAATTAGGGTACCAAAATAAATTAACAAGATTCACTCACTTTTCCACATTAGCAAGGAAAATGCCTTGCTCTGGAAGTAATAAATTTTCCACTTAAAAATAGAAATTCTTCAATCAAAAGAAACCTTAGAGATAATTTTATGTAATGCACACTTGCCTATGTTGTAATGAAATCAAAATCCAGAACAATTAATTTCAGAAATGGCAAAGTTCTCTTGTCCTCAATTGTGATGCTTTTCCAGCAGATATACTTGATATCTGAATAATATAGAAAAGCTTATTTATCATAAACTTGTTGAAACTTAAAGCTGCAAGACCTCTCACTGGAATAGGCAACTGCTAAGAAATGTCTAGAAATTTTGAATTATTATATTTGTAATATTTTATTAAAAATTACTCCTCCAAATTGTATAAGCTTCTGATTCCACAAAACCTCGATCCTCCTGTGATGATGTGGATATTGTATAGAGTTTCATATTGTTGTAACTTATCAACTTTTTACTGGGATGGACTAGAGTGACAAAGGTCTAGCCAATTAAAATAATCTCGACTGGATCATTAGATACTTGCCTGTTTCAAACTGTCAATTTCCAGGCATTCTTTTATTACTTATGAATCAAAGTTTCTTCCATTTTAGTAAGAACTCATTTCTTACCACCACTCATTAAATAAAGCTAACTAATATCAAGGTAACTTCAGAATTCACACTTACTTAAATAAAAAGTTTTAATATGTTAGGTAAAAAATGTAGAAGATGAACCTATATTTCATGACAAAAAATTTGTCGTAATTTTATTGTATTGAAACAAAACTTCAACTTATGAACAAAGGAGAGGAATTCTAATGAAAGTGATATTTCCTATTTAATTTTCTGTACTTTTGTTCACATAGAAGATAATTTAGGAGGCTTTCTAATAAGGTAATTTTAAATACTGTTCTGTCCTCACTATGCAAATATTTCTCCCTCTCAACTACATATACTTAAGTTTTAGTTACATGATTGATAGTACGAATAAATAATAAACACTTCAACATTTATCACATTATGGTAAGAGAGGAGCATAATATCAATAAAAACAAAAACAACAAGAAAAAGAATAATGGTGAGCAGACCTTGATATAAATTTTTGAAACCATAAACTACAAATCCACAAGTACAGAAGACTTCCTGACCATCTGAAGTAAATATATATGTATGCATATATATGCTTATGAATATATTAGATTATAGTTAGTACTAATTATTCATGATATTTTACAAGGAATTTCTGCATAAGGAGATCATTGAGTTTTTATTAGAGTTTATCTAACTCTTTGAGAGCTTAGAAAAATATAACATATTTTAAGCAGTAAAAGCAAATTAAACCTAATTAGATAACATCAAGTTATTCATTTCATGATCCTCTAGATGGCAGGATCCTAGAAAAAGACTCCACTTGGATGGAAAAAATAACATTTAGCAGAAAAAATCCGTTTGAAGTGGAAAAAAATCTATGTTTAATTCCAAAATAAATCTAATATTGTCCTTGAGAAAAAGTTAAATTTAATAGTCTGTAGTCACCCACTCCACAAGAAGAGTAGATTGGAAAAGACGACTTCTCAGGAACAGATTTCACAACACTATAATGTTGATTAATATATTAATAAATATTACTAGGATAGGAGGTAAGGGGCCCATGGCCATTTATATTTGGGAAATTTTATAACACCCTGAATCCCCTTCTTAAAGAATTTTTTAAAAGAACAAGAACTTTTGCCACAAACAAATCTTATTGCTTTTTAAAATCTAAGATTCTCTAACATTTTGACTCTTAATCTTGTTTTCTCTGAACAGCTGTTAACAGTAGTATTCTATCCACAAAACTCAAGAAGTAAACAGAAATGGAGAAGATCAAGTGTTCCTCTAAGTTTCACAAAGCAGATTCTGTTTAAATATTTGTTTCATGAATAAATCAAAGCCAGATGTTATAAGCTAACTTGAACGTTGTAAGACTTGATTTCCTTTATATACTGTTTTCTGTATTTAGGTGGTGTCTTTGTCTTGTCTGTTTTGTGTTGGTATAACAAAATACCTGATGTTGAGTAATTTGTGAAGAAAAGAGGTTTGTTCAGCTTGTGATTCTGGTACCTGGAAAGTCCAAAAGCATGGCACCAGCATCTGCTTGGCTTCTGGTGAGGGTCTTCGTGCTGCCATCCCAGAAGGTCAAATGGGAAGCAGACAAGTGCAAAGAGACAAAACATAAGGAGTGTCCTTGCTTTATTACAGCCCACTCTCATGGGAACCAATAGATCCCCACGAAAACTTATCCAATCTTGTGAGAGGGAGAAGTCACTACTATGAGAATGATACCAAGCAGCCCAGGAAAGCAGAGCCCCCTAATCCAAATACCTCCCACTAGACCTCACTTTGTAAGGGTTCTACTTCCCAAATTTGCCACACTGGGAATTAAGTTTCCCACATTAAGTTTTGGAGGGGATGCTCCAACAATAGCAGCTGGCAGTGTGATGACATGGATACATTAATGTTTGTATTATTTGACCAAGGAGAGATATTGAACTCTTCTCCTGTTTGTAATAAATATGTAAACTCAATGGAATTATGTATTCTGAAGGTAATATTAACTAAGACAATACTAAATCTTTCTAAAACTATGAATATTTTAGCTAAAATGCAAAGACTTATGCCAGTTCTAACATGATGGATTGTCTAGTCCTACTGTCAAATATTTGAAATCTCTCCAAGCAATTAATGAATAATTCTAGCAGGGTTATATTTTTATTTTTGAACCAAATTCAAAGTTAGTATGAATTTTTATGTCAGGTTCTAGAGTTGACATTTCAAATTTTCTGAAATATATTTTTCTAAGAATAAATTTTAGTTGTATTGAACTCTATTAAATATAAACAACACATTTTCTCAGACCCTTGGTCATGATTTTGATCTAGTTAACATAGAGAGAGCAAGAGAGTGAGATAAATTGTCAGTTTTGTGAATTCTGCTATTGACATTAAACAAATGCTCTTAAATGCTGTGGAACTGATAGTTTTGTATTAGAGTCAAAATGTGATAATGACAATGTAGTGTTATAACATTTATTTGTAAGCAGCTCAAATCTCAGGCTTTTTTATTTTTAAATTATTTTTCTTTTTTATTGACTCAATAATTGTACATATTTACGGGGTACACTGTGACGTTCTGATAGACATGTATGTTGTGTGATGATCAAATCAGGACAGTTAGTATATCCATCACCACAAATATTTATCATTTATTTGTGGTGGCAACATTCAAAATCTTCTCTTCTAGCTATTTTCAAACACAAAGGCGTTATTGTTAACTATGGTCACCCTACTGTACAACAAAACCCTAGAATTTATTCTTCCTTTCCAATTGTAACTTTGTATTACACATTAACCAATCTCTCCCCTTTATTCCTTTTTCCTTCCCTTCCCAGTCTCTGGTAACCATTGTTTTTATTCACTACTTTTATGAGATCAACTTTTGTAGATTACACAAGTGAGATCCTATGGTATTTGTCTTTCTGTGTCTAGTTTATGTCACATAACATAATATTCTACAGGCTCATCCATGTTACTCTAAATTAGATAATTTTATTTTTTATGACTGAATAGTATTCCATTGTGTATATATACATTTTTGTCCATTCATGCAGTATATTTTTATTTCTTAATGGATTATCTTAACATTCCATGAGTCAGAACTTTTTAATTGATAAGAGAATGAAGCTTAGCAAGTTTATATTAGATCAATACTGGGTAAATAAAGCAGTCACTTTTGTAATAAATCAAAAGGCAGCAATAAAAATATGAACTTTATGAATTAAAATAGAGGGTTTAGAATGGTACATTTAACTTACACTATGATGTATATTTTATGGTTAATATATGAGCTTTGAAATACAAAATTTGAAATCAGTAGCCCTTCTAATTATAAATGATATAAATTTTTTCTATATGAAACATTATATTTTCCTACAGTTCAATTGGGTATAAATTTTACTTTTCTCATGTACTTTCCCAAAGCACAATATTATATGATTTATACATGGATACATTTGCCAAGTAATAGGCATATATCCCATGAGAACTAGGCCCTTTGAGCTTTAGAGAAATAACTGAAGCATGTACTATATCCAATAAATGAGAATAGCTACCATTTAATGAGAGCTAACGATACACTAGGTACTGAGATTAGGTACTGTTTTATTATCATCCCTGTTGTACAGTTGAGGAAAGAAATACTTAGTAAGATTAAATAACTTCCAATTTTAAGAGCCAGTGAATGCCAGAGAACCACGTTTTCTTTTTCTTTTCTTTTTCTTTTCTTTCTTTCTTTTTTTTTTTTTTTTTTTTTTTGAGATGGAATCTCACTGTCACCAAGACTGGAGTGCAGTGGCACGATCCTGGCTCACTGCAACCTCTGCCTCCCAGGTTCCAGCGATTCTCCTGCCTCAGCCTCCCCAGTAGCTGGGATTACAAGTGCATGCCAACACGCCTGGCTAATTTTTTATATTTTTAGTAGAGACGGGGTTTCACCATGTTGGCCAGGCTGGTCTTGAACTCCTGACATCAAGTAATCTGCCTGTCTCGGCCTCCCAGTGCTGGGATTACAGGCGTGAGCCACCATGCCTGGTCCCACGTTTTCTAATTTTGAAGTTCAGATCATTTGAACTACCTCAGCCTAGTGCTCATTGTGCAAAGGTCCAGAGGTGCAGAAAAGGGAGACTGATTGGGCTACCATGACTACTGGGTTGATTATCTGTCATCCATGGGTAGAACTTTGTAAGCATGAGATGCTGATGAGATGTGATAGGTCAAGGGGCTACTGTCACCCAGGTCACTCACGGCCCAGGCTGGGGCTAAGTGAGGAAAGTTTTCCCTTTTAATTTCTGAAACCCACCTGTGGTTAATACTGGGTATGGATGAGGACAAAAAATACCTTTCCCACTCTTTGGGAGGTAAAATGCAGGACACAATCATCCCCCAGTCCCATTTCTAGTTCAGCTGAACCAAAGACAACTCTCAAATGGAAGATCAGTATTTTCAATAGGTTGAAAAAATTGGATAGCGGGACAAATAAAACCTATATTTGGGACAACTTGGTGGTGGCCACTGCGCAGACCAGACTTCGCTCGTTTTCGCGCGCCTCGCTCCGCTTTTCCTCCGCAACCACGTCTGACAAACCCGATATGGCTGAGATCGAGAAATTCGATAAGTCGAAACTGAAGGAGATAGAGACGCAAGAGAAAAATCCACGGCCTTCCAAAGAAATGATTGAACAGGAGAAGCAAGCAGGCGAATCGTAACGAGGCGTGCGCCGCCAATATGCACTGTACATTCCACAAGCATTGCCTTCTTATTTTACTTCTTTTAGTTGTTTAACTTTGTAAGATGCAAAGAGGTTGGATCAAGTTTAAATGACTGTGCTGCCCCTTTCACATCAAAGAACTACTGACAATGAAGGCCGCGCCCGCCTCTCTCATCTGTCTATCTGGCTGGCAGGGAAGGAAAGAACTTGCACGTTGGTGAAGGAAGAAGTGGGTTGGAAGAAGTGGGGTGGGACGACAGTGAAATCTAGAGTAAAACCAAGCTGGCCCAAGGTGTCCTGCAGGCTGTAATGCAGTTTAATCAGAGTGCCATTTTTGTTGTTGTTGTTGTTCAAATGATTTTAATTATTGGAATGCACAATTTTTTAAATATGCAAATAAAAAGTTTAAAAACTTAAAAAACAAAACAAACAAACAAAAAACCTATGTTTAGATTAACATCTGACCACTCCAGACACTTCAGATGTACTGAGTGCCCAGACACATCGTTTGTCCTGGCTAGGTGGTCTGAAGTAAATACAATTTTTAAAAATTGTTTAAAAGGCACAAAAATAGAGTTCCAAGCATTTCTACAAATACGAACTCATTAAATTTAATCTTCATAATCATACTATCAAGAAGAATCTATTATTATCCCCAGTGATTAAGGGTCATGCCCGAAGTCTTCCAGCTAGTAAGTGGCAGAGCTAGAATTTGAAACCCTGGAGTCTGGTCCCAACCTGTGTCTTCTTCCATTATGAAATCTATGTTTTTTGTTTTTTGTTTTCCATCAGCCACTGCCTGAGTTGATGGCCCTGGTGGATGACTGTTTCAGACATATTGGTCTGGTTAACTCACTATCCAGTCTATACAACACAGATCAGACCAATCCCACTAATGACTGAAGCAGATTAATTACGCCAAACATTGACTACTTCACCCTGATTAAGATGTTATTTTAAGTATGAATTTTGAACAAGTGCATTAGCAGAGGCCAAAAATAAAATCCCTGATATAAGCAAGCTATATTCTAATCTACAAAAGAGTGAAAATAGAACCCCGAATTAATCAAATAGGCAGTAACCATGGTGGTTAAGAGCATGGACGTGGGGCAGATTGTCTGGATTTGGATTCCAGCTCCACCACTCACCAGCTACGTGGCTTAGCAAGTTACTTAGCCTTTAAAATCTTCGATTCCTTATCTTTTAAAAGGGAGTAATTATAACTATTTATTTTTGTCATCCTAAGGATAAAGTATAAAGCTTATAATGGAATATGGCACTTTTTTTAAGGGCATAAGAGAATGAACAGAACCTGGACAATGCCAAAAGAGAAATACAAAATCCATTATTACAAAGATATTTTCTTTAATCATAGTTGGTGAAGCAATTTTAGCAGCCTTTCAGTGAGAAGTAACTGGAAATCAATACCTGTGCTCTACTTTGTGTCTCTTTTAGTGTTGATGAAAAGTATGTCCATGTTAGTTGTTCTCAGCTAATTGTTTTGTTACCTGTGGTAGATTTCAAAATATGGCCACAGATTTCTCCCAATCCAGTACGTACCACTATGCAATGTGATTTTGTCATTCCCATAAGAAATGGAGTCTATTTCCTCCTCTCTTTGAATCTGGGCTGGCAGTTGTCCAGTAGAATTAAGCAGAAGGGATGTCATAATACTTCTAATTGCTAGGACTTAAGAAACTTTGTAGTATATTTCTACTGTTTTCTTGGAAAACTATTTGAGACGCCATCTAAAGAAGCCAAGCTAGCCTAGTAAGAAATTGGAGGCAATAAAATGTGTTACTTTCAATATTATCATGCAACTGTTTCTCCATACACTGTAAGATTTTAGAATTACTTAGCAATTACTATGCTCTTTTATAAGCCATGAAACAGTTATAAAACAGTCACTCCCTTCCACCAGTCAAGTTTGATGTATTAGCTGCTTTGTCGGAATTACCACATTAAATGGACATGACGGTGAATGCAGCTGTAACTGCACTGATTTCATTTCTCTTTTCTTAGGTTTTTATTTGTTATACAAGTTTTTGCTGCTGTGATGTCCCTCCTTAAAAAACCACCGATTTAGGTTTGGCTATCTTCAGTGTTAATCACGTAAACCAGAGTAAATCCGCACGTTATTACACATTAAATATGAAGATTCAGACTGCATCACTGGTATCTTCTTTCCACTCTGCCGTATCTGACTCTTTCTCCTCTCTTCTCCAATAGGTATGGAGAGCTGCTCAGCAACGTCACACTTAGCAAATACAGAATGGAAAAGCAGTTGCAGTTTCATGCCTAAACTCCATGCGTAATTCTCTTGTAGCCAGAAGACACCCATTCTTCCTGGAGAAGGAATGAAAAAGCAAAAACCATAGATTTTTATGTCCAAGTCCAAGTCCCATGACAGTAATGACTGTTTATCCCATTCCTTCTCTACTCCTTCATTTCCTATCACACAGGGGAGGTCCGAGGGGGTAAGGGCTAAAGTGATGCTGGGGTGTAGAAGAACCAGTGGGTTTCCAATTGAGTTCATTTCTCTTTGGAATGTGAGGTACTTGATATTTTGTGCTCCACTTTGGATACTACCTATGAATTTTGGTAAAAGGAAAGGTCCTTTTCAACACCATTTTCCATTGTGATATGTAATTCTAAAATGACACTGTCATTTTGTTTTTGCCCATGTACTAAAATATTATGATTAATGTAATTTTTCTTCTTCCCAAGCTTCTTTCACAATGTCTGCTTTATAGGTGGTTGTTTCTATGTTCTTTGGTTCATTTTATTAAATCACTTTTTAAAATAATTTTTAGAAAACTCTACTTTCAGTTATTTACATACTTCCACTGAAATGGCACTGCATTTGTTAAAATATTGGTTTTATATGTGTTTGCATGAATATAATTAATTTTAAAATACATGAGGTTTAACTCAGAACAGATTTATTCTAGCTTACATGATGGCTCAGTTTCCTAAAGAAACTGGGTAATTGTGCATATGAATACTCAGGAACAGGATAACAAAAATGAAAAACAATTTTTGAACTCTTTAAACCATAATTGATCAGTTTTGGCTTTACATGTGGTTGCATAAATAGAAGTGAAATTAAATATCATTTATTCTTAGCATATCCCCTGTAGTACCTAGTTGGTTCAAATAAAAATGTAGTCAAAATATTCTTTTGCTCCAGAGGAAAAACATTAAACCATTAAGCCACCTGATTAATTTATTTTGTAGCTGAACTATAACAGTTTGTTCAGGGGTCCTAACTCCTAAAGAATTCTTTTTTAAATTTCAATATTTAACAGAACCTTTCTAGGAAATGAGGAACCATGTCCTAAATGAGGAACCCTGTCCTAAATTCTACTTCTAGGTCCTATATTGAATGATGAAAGAGTAAATCAATCAACTCATCAATAAATATTAGAATAATTAATTATCACTTTCAATTGTGTCTACTCACTAATTTTTGGTTAGCAAACAAACTAGAGATGGAGTGCTTATATGAATCAAACTTATTTGTGTCCTACTGTGGTTGAGATGTCTTCAATTCTTCATCTATTCATTTGTTCAGAATATGTTTTCATGCCAGAATATTTTGGCTGGGATACAGTAGAAAATGAAATAAACAATCTCTGGGCTTATAGTATTTGTCTTCATATGATTATCCCTGACAATCCTAATTCTGGTTGGGAAACAGACAATAAACAGATTGATAATATAACAAGTGTCAAATTCTAATAAAAATAAAACAAAATAAGAGTGATAAAGCATCCTGGGGTTTGGCTGGAAAATTGTTTTTGCATTTTAATGATCATCAAATTGATTCCACAATTTTAAACTCTTTATTTCATTAATTCAATAAGTACTTATTAAGGGCCTACTCTATGCCAGGCGCTAGAAAGGCAAGAGAGCAAAACAAGCATGTCCTTTGTATGGATGTGTTTGGAAGGGATATAGCAATCCTGCAATAGCTCCGATACGTACAAAAATTGGTAACTACTACACAGTTTTTGGCATCCCCCATACATATCACTTCATTTTTATGGTGACTCACACGTACATACTATATCCTTGAATTGGATAATAGTGGCTCTGTTGTGCTTACTGCTGTGAACTCTTTAATCAATCACCCAGAATACAAGAGACATTCTGGGGACTTAGAAAGTAAACCTAAGTAATTCCAGTGGTAAAACCTTGACTCAGGTTAGTCGTCAAACTAAAGCTACTGTTCCCTCAATTACATGGATCATTGCTTTAACTCTTTACCTGGCTTTAGTGGCAAGAACCTTACACCTTAGAATAAGACAACATCAGATGCGATCATTTTTAAAAGATGCATATAAAAGATATTTCTCGTATACCATAATATCTGCTTTAATTTTCCAAAGCAATTAAAATAAAATAGCAAAGGAAAAATAAACATTAAAAAATCAAGACATGACAATCAATATTGGGTATTGAGTCATGGCATACTTAAAATAAAAATTGCGTTTCAAGTAAAATGGTAATTTTAGAGAATAAAAAGCTCTTTACTTATAATATTATTTTAGCCTTTAAATTTTTTTATTTGCTAAAATACTAGCGTCTAAAGCTGAGCTGTCAATCAATCTTCACATTTTAAGATGTGAGCGTAAATGAATCTGAATGAGGAAAGAAAGGAGAAAGAGTCAAGGAGATGGGCAAAGAACCTGAATAGACATATTTTAACAGAAGTCATAAAAATGGCCATCGGCTATATGAAAAGGTGTTCAATGTAACTAATCATCAGGGAAATGTTCATCAAAACCATTATGAGATTTCACCTCACACCTATTAGGATGATTACTATCAAAAAGATGAAAGGTAACAAGTTCAGCAAGAATGTAGTAAAAAAGGAACCCTTGTACAGTATACATTTTGTAGTATACTTTGTACACTAATTTACACTGGTGGGAATGTAACTTAGTATAACCACCATAGAAAAACAATATGAAGGCTCCTCAAAAACTTAAAAGTAGAACTACCATGTGGTCCATCAATCCTGCTTCTGAATATATATCCAAAGAAAATGAAATCAGGATCTCAAAGAGACACCTGTACTTCCATGTTCATTGCAGCATTACTCACAATAGCCAAGAGATGGATGGACTCAACTTATATGTCCATCAATGGATGAACAGATGAACAAAATGTGATATACATGCATACGCACAGAAAAGCATATATGCACACACACATATATATAATAGAATATTATTCAGCCCTTAAAAAAAGAAAGCTCTGCTATTTGTGAAAACACAGCTGAATCTGGAAGACATTATACACAATGACATAAGCCAGCCACAGAAAGACAAACACTGCATAATCTCACTTATATGTGGAACCTAAAATGTCAAACTCATAGAAACAGATAGTAAGAATGGTGGTTGCCAGGAACTG